TGTTCAAATAAAAGCCCTGGGGTCAAAATTGGCCCGCCCCGGGGGGTCATTGATTTTCCCTAATATGCATATAGTAAAACTTAAAAAATCTTCTTTTAAAGAACTCAAAGAGCTATGGCTAAGATATTTAGCATCAAACATGTTCTAATGGGTGTCTACCAAGTTTGTTCAAATAAAAGCCCTGGGGTCAAAATTGGCACCGGGCCCGGGGGTCATTGATTTTCCTTATATGTGTATAGCAAAAACTTAAAAAATCTTCTTTGAAAAAACCCAAATAGCTAGAGTTAAGATATTAAGCATGAAACATCTTTTAGTGAGTGTCTACAAAGTTTGTTCAAATAAAAGACCTGGGGTCAAAATTGGCCCGCCCCGGGGGTCATTGATTTTCTTTATATGGTGTATAGCAAAAACTTAAAATCTTCTTTGAAAAAACCCAAATAGCTAGAGTTTAGATCATAAGCATGAAACATTTTTTCTAGTAAGTGTCTACAAAGTTTGTTCAAATAAAAAGCCCTGGGGTCAAAACTGGCCCAGCTCCAGGGGTGGTCATTGTTTTTAACTATATGTGTATAGTAAAAACTTTAAAAAAATCTTCTTTTAAAAAGCCCAATGAGCTAGAGCTTAGATTTTTTAGCATGAAGCATCTTCTTATGGGTGTCTACTAAGTTTTGTGCAAATAAAAGCCCTTGGGTTAAATTGGCCCTGCAACGTTGCGGGGGGGGGGGGGGTTTTTGGGGCTATATACAGGTGAGCGACCTCAGGGCTATCATGGCCCCTCTTGTTTAATATATTTTTTCCCCATATTCCTAGTACAGTAAATTTGTTACATTTTCTCTTTCCTCTATCATTCTTAGTTTTTTGTATTTAATATTTTTCCAAGTGGTAATAAAAACAATAAAATTTTCACAATTATTTATAATATATTTTATTTACTTGTGTATTTCATGCAATGAGGCTAAAAAAATGTAAAAAAAAAGTAATTTTTGAAGAAATTTTTTTTAAGTTAGACCAGTGTTGCTTCAGCCATCAATATGTTAACTTGTCATGTAGTATGTACACAAACATACTGGGAGAAGAAACAGATGTTTGGCTTAATGAAAGTACAAAATGTTTTTTGCTTATCGTTTTCCAATGAGTTAGTTACAATGTACAAGGTTAAATTACTTTTTTGGATGATGTTCTTTTCTGTGGAAAGACCAGGTGTTGCTTCACAATTGTTTTTTTTTTCCTCATTAACATCATTAAATGTAATTTCCTTTTTTGGCTTTTCGCTTGATATATTGATGTCCTGTGTGAGCATCTATTAGCAATACATGTATCAATGAGTGTCATGAGTTACTTTTTAAGACATAAAGTACAAAATAAAACTATATTACAGCTGTTAATTGTTTGTCTTTTCTTTCCTGTTGTCAAGGTTTGGTACTGCTATGACTTACTCTTTCAGGGAGTGAACTTAGATATACAACTGTTTATTTACTGGTGTAGAGGGAATGTCCATTTTTATGTTGACACTAAGAAATTAAAATTGTCTTGGTCTGTAGTAGCAATGTAGTTTTTGAAAAAGTTCTTGCAATTTTAGATGAACATGATTTGCTCCTACCAGTACTTTTATGGAGATGACCTTATATATCTTTGTTACACAATTAAATATTTAAAAAAAATGTTACTTATGAAAATGGTAAATTTTTAGATTCATACAAAACAAAGTCAAGCAAAATGTGTATGAGAACATCATACAGATAGAATAAAGTCAAATTGGTAAAGACACATCATGTCCAGTGAAATCTGAAACCTGTAAAAACAAGATCATACTGATTGAAATCTGTATAGACAGATCATAATGAATGAAGTCTGGTTAAATTTGTATAGACAGATCATAATAAAGTCTGGTGAAATCTGTATAGACAGATCATAAACAAATGAAGTCTAGTGAAATCTGTTAAGACAGATCATAATGAATGAAGTCTGGTAAAACTCTGTATAGACAGATCATAAAAAAATGAAGTCTGGTGAAATCTGTATAGACAGATCATACCGAATGAATCTGGTGAAATCTGTATAGACAGATCATAAATGAATGAAGTCTAGTGAAATCTGTATAGACAGTTCATAATGAATGCAATGTAGTGAAATCTGTATAGACAGTTCATAATGAATGCAATCTAGTGAAAATCTGTATAGACAGAGCATACCGAATGAAGTATGGTGAAATCTGTATAGACGGATCATACCGAATGAAATCTAGTGAAATCTGTATAGACAGTTCATAATAAATAAAGTCTAGTGAAATCTGTGTAGACAATTCATAATGAATGCAATCTAGTGAAATCTGTATAGACAGATTTAATAATAAATAAAGTATGGGGTGAAATCTGTATAGACAGATCATAATGAATGAAGTCGAGTGAAATCTGTATAGACAGTTCATAATGAATGAAGTCTAGTGAAATCTGTATAAACAGATCATACCAAATGAAATCTGGTGAAATCTGTATAGACAGATCATAAAAAAAAGAAGTCTGGTGAAATCTGTATAGACAGATCATACCGAATGAAATCTGGTGAAATCTGTATAGACAGATCATAATGAATGAAAGTCTAGTGAAATCTGTATAGACAGTTCATAATGAATGCAATGTAGTGAAATCTGTATAGACTGATCATACGCGGTGAATGAAGTATGGTGAAATCTGTATAGAGCAGATCATACGATGAAATCTAGTGAAATCTGTATAGACAGTTTTCATAATGAATGCAATGTAGTGAAATCTGTATAGACAGATCATACCGAATGAAGTCTAGTGAAATCTGTATAGACAGTTCATAATAATAAAGTGTAGTGAAATCTGTATAGACAGATCATACCGAATGAAGTAATGGTGAAATCTGTATAGACAGATCATAACCGAAGTGAAATCTAGTGAAATCTGTATAGACAGTTTCATAGTAAATAAAGTGTAGTGAAATCTGTATAGACAGATTATAATGAATTAGTATAGTGAAAATCTGTATAGACAGTTCATAATGAATGCAATCTAGTGAAATCTGTATAGACAGATCATACCGAATGAAATCTAGTGAAATCTGTATAGACAGTTCATAATAAATAAAGTGTAGTGAAATCTGTATAGACAGATTATAATGAATGAAGTCTAGTGAAATCTGTATAGACAGGTTCATAATGAATGCAATCTAGTGAAATCTGTATAGACAGATCATACCGAATGAAATCTAATGAAATCTGTATAAGACAGTTCATAATAAATAAAGTGTAGTGAAATCTGTATAGACAGATCATACCGAATGAAGTATGGTGAAATCTGTATAGACAGATCATACCGAATGAAGTATGGTGAAATCTGTATAGACAGATCATACCGAATGAAATCTAGTGAAATCTGTATAGACAGTTCATAATAAATAAAGTGTAGTGAAATCTGTATAGACAGATCATACCGAATGAAGTCTAGTAAAATCTGTATAGACAGTTCATAATGAATGCAATCTAGTGAAATCTGTATAGACAGATCATAATGAATGAAGTCTGGTGAAATCTGTATAGACAGATCATACGAATGAAATCTAGTGAAATCTGTATAGACAGTTCATAATAAATAAAGTGTAGTGAAATCTGTATAGACAGATTATAATGAATGAAGTCTAGTGAAATCTGTATAGACAGATTATAATGAATGAAGTCTAGTGAAATCTGTATAGACAGTTCATACCGATGAAGTATGGTGAATCTGTATAGACAGATCATACCGAAATGAAATCTAGTGAAATTCTGTATAGACAGTTGATAATAAATAAAGTCTAGTGAAATCTGTATAGACAGTTCATAATGAAATGCAATCTAGTGAAATCTGTTACAGACAGATTATAATAAATAAAAGTATGGTGAAATCTGTATAGATAGATCATAATGAATGAAGTCTAGTGAAATCTGTATAGACAGTTCATAATGAATGAAGTCTAGTGAAAATCTGTATAGACAGATCATACGCGAATGAAATCTGGTGAAATCTGTATAGACAGATCATACCGAATGAAATCTGGTGAAATCTGTATAGACAGATCATAATGAATGAAGTCTGGTGAAATCTGTATAGACAGTTCATAATGAATGAAGTCTAGTGAGTCTAGTGAAATCTGTATATAGACAGATCATACCGAATGAAATCTGGTGAAATCTGTATAGACAGATCATACCGAATGAAATCTGGTGAAATCTGTATAGACAGATCATAATGAATGAAGTTGGTGAAAATCTGTATAGACAGATCATACCGAATGAAGTCTGGTGAAATCTGTATAGACAGATCATACCGAATGAAATCTGGTGAAATCTGTATAGACAGATCATATATGAATGAAGTCTGGTGAAATCTGTATAGACAGATCATACCGAATGAAGTCTGGTGAAATCTGTATAGACAGATCATACCGAATGAAATCTGGTGAAATCTGTAATAGACACATTATATACATGATAAAAATATTTTCAAATAAATATAGACAGTGGTCTATTGATCATACGGAATGAACTCTGTTGAAATCTGTATAGACACATTATTTAGGGTGAAATATAGTAAAATTAGTGAAGTTAAGTTTTTTTAGTACACATAACTTGGTAAGATCTTTTCAAATCAGGCACATATTAGGATAGTTCAGTCAAATCTGTATAGACAAAATATCAAGAGTAAAATTTGGTGGTCATGAACCTTTTTCAGTACATGAGGTAATTGCATTTTTTTATGTTTTTGTTCAAACTATTCCTTATAAAAACCTAGATTTATTTTTTCATGAAAATGAAAAAGTTCAGAAAAACGTATCTTTTATTCCTTACAGTAGAACTATATTTACCTTTCACGACATCATGCAGATTTTAACGACTTTCAAATCTGTATAGACGAGTACTTGTAATTAGTATAGACTTTCGCCCTTTCCGCAAAAAGGGAAGTAGAAATAGCAAATTTCCAACTATCGTGTCAAACCAAAAAAATAAACCAGTTTTTTCTTGATTATGTCTACGAAACATTAATAAATCCAACATTTAAAGTAAGTTTAAAAACTTTATTTCATGTACACAATTTCACATCCACTTGTATATAAAAATGATTTACGCGAGAAGGAAGATCAGGCAAATATTTTAGACAGTGTTTTTAATTTTTTTGTCTCCTTTTTATCAATCTCAAAAAGAAAAATATTTGTTTAATAAATTATGTATTTTAATAAATTAAGCATAGAAATGTACATAATTATGTTTTTACATTTTTAATGTATTTTTAACAAACATATACAGGTGATTAATTTCAAATTTCCACATATCGAGGGTTCAAAGGTAAAAGGTTAAACTGCCACTTTTGCCGAAATTGACTTTTTATGTTTTTTATAATGTACTTATTGTCCTTTATGTCTGACGAAAATATTATATAAATATTCAATCCTTATAAGGGCAAAAAATTAAAAAGTATTTTGTAATAACTTTCTTTTCTACAAATTATTTAGTGGGTAAAAGGTTCTAAGTGTACTTATTACCTGTTGTTTTACTTGTTGTTCCACATGTTGTGAAGAATCTGTAGTGGAAAAAGGTTATAACTGATTTTATCACCTTTTTCCCCTGACTGAATGATGCATTCATTACAGTTCATAGGCACTATCTGTTATCTCTTTTCCCACGAAATTTATCTTTTAGAATTAAATGCAGGGCGAGAATATAACTCGAATATGAAAGACAGAAAATATTCAGTTCATACTGGTCAATGGGTGATTACATAAGTCAGAGGCAATTCATTTGTTTCCATGTTGCCAATAAAGAACCAGAGAATGTATCTAAACAGAGAACAAAACAAAGACCTATTTCGAATTCGTTTTTCACAACAGGTAGAAAAGAGGCGTGAGGGATGTTGCATTTATTGCATTATTCTTCATGTACAGACTCAAATGAACCGAATCTGCAATTTTCAAGTATTTTTGTTGTGATTAACGCTTCCGAGGGATCGCTTTGTTTCCAGAATTTTTTTACTAAAAACTATCGATGTCGGTTCCAAAACAGTTGCAAACACAGTTAAGCAGCAAAGTGGCAGAGGGTTATTTGTTGGAAATGACAAGAGAGGGAAAGCTGTGCCTGGAAATAAAAACCACGGAATATCACAGATCATTTTGTAAAAGAAACACAACGAAAGCTTTCCGACTGTTGAATCACACTACACACGAAGACCCCAACAGGAAGTATCTAACGCAAGATTTATATATAAAATGAATATACTCACTGTATGTAGAAAAATGCAAAGGACAAAATAGAAAGCGTGTTTCAGAGGTTGTTTTACAGAATCATTTTTAGTAACAGAATATAACTTTTCTTCCGTCCTAAGAAAGATCAATGTCCCACTCTGCAATCTGTATGACACTTTGAGAATAGAAGATAGACTAGATGAGGGCACAAAAGCAAAATATCAAGTACACCAAGTGACCAAAAGAAAAAAAAAACAGTGGCAAGAATGCAAAAATCAGTCGATAAAAACGCACAAAAGAAAGACCCAAAGTTTTTCTGTGTTGGCATTTGATATCCAGGCTATTTTGAAAACACGCACTCAGTTTAATTGGTGATCTTCGTTACAAAAAGAAAACTGTGTTGTTGCAATTTGTTCATTCTATGAACTGGGAATGGTAAACGGGACTTGTTATCTGTTGGATGAGACACATGGGGAAACCCCAGGCTCGTGCAAAGTAGGAACTTTTGTGTACTTGTATGTAAACCTCTGTTGCAAGTAAGACATCTGGTATTGAAGAAGTGACATTATATAGTAATGCACAATGTGGAGGAGCAGTAATTGCAATCAGTTTGTTGCAAGTTGCTTAGTTCACTGTGTCCAAGATATACCTCACATCAATGGTAAACCACACATTTCTTGAAATTGGCCATTCATTAATGGAAATGCAAAAATTCCATTTACATCGCATCTATCAAGCATTGGCAAAAAGCCTTACAATAGTTTCATGGTTTACAGTCGCAGTGGGAAACAGTTAATATGTAAACACGCCGGAAGTAAACCATAATATTTGTCGTTCCTAATAAAAATACAGATGACATACTTAGATTACAAGTTGTACAAAGGGAACAAAAACCCTTTGGCTCAATGAAAATTGATGTTGATGGTGAAAACCTGTTGATTGGCTGAATATATAATAAAAAGCATGGTTTGATTTAGGGATGGATAAGGCTTATCCGGGTGAGCTAGAAAGTGTATCTTTTGGCGAGCCCTTTTGGCAACCCAAGATTCACTTCCGCAGTGAACCGGATAAACTTTCTCCAGCCCGGAACATCAACCCCCATGTTTTGTTTTATCCTGCTTTTAATCTAATGTTTTTAGAATAAATTAAATGGTTTCATTTCTTCTTTTTTTTCCCCGATAAAATAACATCTATATATTTTTTTGTTTTGGCTGCTAAAGCACCATTGTGACGTTTTATCAAATGACTTAATGACTGGATAGATAGATAAAGACAAAAATTACAGTATTGGGTTGTGAAGCTATGGTTTTGTTTGGTTAGTGAGTTCAAGGCAGTTAGGTTTTAATGCAGAAAAGAACAGAAGCAAAGAAAAGTCTCTTAAGGCTCCACGAAAGGCTTAATACAGGAGAAGCTTCCAATATTCTGCTGGGCAAAAGCTGATTTGATGTCACTTGTTTGCCTCTGGAACAATTCCGAAGGAGTGCGAATCATTACTATGAGTCATTGCCATGCAGGCAAATCTATAAAAGACAACTTTTCAGTGGGCCTTCTTGTTAGTGAGAGTGAAGAAGATGAGTGGAGGTCATAGAATAATTAATTGACAAACATTCACATTTTGTGACTATGAAACAGTAGTCTTTATTTACTTAACTATGATAACTGGGTCACTAATATCCTTAATTGCTGATGGTCTGGGGTCTGTTTGACTTCAGTTCGGATTATATACCAGAGAAATTCAAAATAAATGAAATTTGTAAACTTAGATTTTAGTGTGTATTTTCGTAAACTTTTTAGTTATTAATTTATTTCTGTAGAATCTAAATATTGAGCAGGTACATATTTCATATTTCTATGAAATGAAAAGTTGTTAATTTTGTGTACGAGTATTAATGTGCATTGTGTTAATTACATTACGTAAGGTTCTTCAAAGTAACGGACATAATTGAATAAATTTGCAACCAGTAACAATTACTGGCAACATCTAAAATTTTTCCAGAGGAACAAGGCTTATACTGCACTTAGAACCTTTTACCACAGTTTATCTCTAACTTTTATTGCTAAATCTTCAGAGTAAAAGGTCGTAAGTGCAGTTATTACCTTTTACCTGCTCAAACTTGTAGTCTTGACAGGATCTAAGTACATTTATTACCTTTTACTTCTGTAAAATGATATTATTTTGATCTTAGAACTTTAAACAAAACTATAATTACAGTGTTTGATCAGCAAGCCAAGCAATGTAAACTAAACAAAATATGATCTAATGTAGTCAACAAATATGGGAGAATCAAAATTGTTATAACAATCTTACGGAAAATAAAGTTGTATTAAAAAAATATGTTTTTTGCGTTTTTCTCGAAATCTTGAAAATGGCAGTTATTACCTTTTACCTTTGAACCCTCGATATATGGTCAAATAAAAATAAATATTTTCTCATGATTATTTTTATGAAATTTAAATCCAAAATTCAAAGTATGTTTAAAACTTTATTTTACATACAACATTTCTCATCAATATTGGATGAATAATGTAAGAAAGTGTAACCTGAATATTTGAATGAGTGTTAAATTTTAGTGTGTCTTTTATCGAAATTCTGAGAACAAATATTCCAATCTATATAATAGAGAAGAAAAATTACCACAACCAAATAGAGAAAAAAATGCAATATTCTTGATCAATTGATATATACCCGATATTATTTATCTTATGTTTCATAATGTCCAGATTAGTTCTCCTGTTCTGGTCTGTTCTAGGACATTAAGGATAAATAAGTATCAAATAGAAGTACATTATGTGATAAAATTGATTTGACTGCTGAATGAAATAACTTCCTCTTACAGAATGTTTCAAGAACCTGACTACAGAGAAAACTTATCATTGATGTTATCAGAGGTTTTACATGACATTGGTGTCAATGAAAGAATTGTGATGAGAAGGAGAAGAGGAGTCATGCTGAGGGAGACTATGAGTAATATCAGGTGCAGGTTAACTGATCAAAATGGAACTAACTTTTATCTAGGGAGTCAAAGTGAAGGTACAACTACTATAGGACTTCATTCAGACATTGATATACTAGCCTTTATACGTGATTACAATATAATACAAGACTGGTCAGAGTGGGAACATGGCAAGTTAAACTACCTCATGATACAGGATGAGAACACTACCCCCGGGTATTGTTTCTTACAACTACTAAGAGATGATGCACCTCTTTCTGCAACTGTCTTTCCTGATGAACACCATATTACTGATAGAAGAGGAAGAATATTGTATAAAAACACAGTGAAAAATGAGTTTCTTGAGGGTGCTGATCAGCAGCATGGACCATCTATTGTTGAACAAGGAAAATCTGGACTTTGTGATAGAGACAAAGTGATAGCTTATCCATGTAAATCATGGCCTCAATCAGCATCAGGTTGGTTAGATAGACAAGGTATTGGCAGATGGCCAACACAAGAGATGAGAAGATATGGAGCCAGTACTGGGTGTTTTGTTGTTCCAACTGGAAGTAAGGTCAGTATATATCCTGAATTGGAATGGAGAATATCTACATCGTTTACAGAAAGATTTCTTATGTTAAATCTAAATATACCACAAATAAGGTGCTATGTACTATTAAAAATGATTCTCAAGTCCTTCCTCAATCCTCATGAAATCAACATATCAAGTTTCATGTGTAAAACAGTTCTATTACAATGTATAGAAAACACAGAGTCAGGAATATGGAAAGATAATAATTTATTTACATGTTTAACATACTGCTTATTGGAATTACACAGTAGTGTACAGAATGAGTGTTGTTCACATTTCATTATACCGGAAAATAATGTGATGGCAGGGCAATTTACAGCTGAGACAAAACATGATCTTTCAAAGAGTATTTGTAAACTTATACAAAATGATAGACAACAGTTACTTAGTATTGATATTGATCATCTTGGTCATAGACTTCAAGTTAAACTGAACAGGATACCACATGGAGTTTACTACCTTGTACCTTCTTCACTTGAAATATATGAAAATGTTTTGATGAGTGGAAATATAAACATTGCAAATGGCATAAGTGCACAGCATGAGTATGTTATAAACCATTTACACAATAAAAACATTAGAACAATGAAGCAATATGTAGGTAAATTAATGACCTTCAGCGATAATGGTAATAGATTAGAACATGCTGCATTCATGTTTCTAGGGCCTCTTCTTTTTACCACATACGGATCTATCCTAGCATCATCCAGCATTGCTGAAAATAATCAAGTGTCACCTCAAGCATTGGTCTGGCTATCAGCTGGTTTAAACTCAGATATCTCATCTAGCAGACTTAAATTGGCTTCAGTGTTTTACAGTACAGGAGATATGGAGAAAGCTGAACTAATTCTGAGACACACAGAACAACAATATTATTCTTATCCTGTTTTACCTTTCTGTAGCTGCCATAATCAGCCACCAGGAGCAGTAACATCAGAATTCAAAAGGGTATGTAATGAACAAAGTGAGGACTATATCAAACATATTACAGCATTTTGTGTCAGATTTATACAGGGAGAGATCAACTGTGTTCCTCATGAACTACAATATGAAATGTTCAGATCTACACAACATGACATGATACACAGACATGAGTATAAAGACTTTTGGATGAACTGGGCGGTAGTTGATTCTCTACCTTTCTTATACTTTCTACAATACAAGATATACCGTCATCTAGAAAGACATCAGAATAAACAACTAGCACTTTGTAAACTTTTTAGAACAATAGCAACAGATAAAAACCTCAGACATAGAGAAACAGCCTTCAACATTTTAGGACAATGTATGGAACAAGAAAACAGACCTCAACAAGCATTTAAATGCTACATGCTTTCTCTTCAACAAAGGGCAAGAAACAATGCAGCAAACTTTCATATATGTAAGCTCTTTTCTGGCTTTATGATAACTGGAGAAGCCAATAAAAATGATCAAAAAAAAGTATGAAGACCATATTTTCCAATGATATCAAACAAATTAAAATGACAAAATATAGGCTTGCCTACATATATTTTGAAATACCATAAAATATGTTAAATTGAAAGAATGATTTTAACTTCAATGACTTTGATGACTGACTTTACATTTGAGAGTTAAGAGCCTCAAGTGAAGAAGACGATATTGCTTATATATATAAACCTTTGTTTATGATATGAATTTTTCCAGGCCTTTATATACAGTAGGCAAAACTGTCAGCTAAATATGTATTTAGTCTTTTATTGTTGGCAATAATTATTAAAGCCTTGTTTTAAATATGTATCCTGTATATATAGTCTTGTTCTTATTTAATATATGTACCCTGTATATAACATGACGCTGTTTAATGCACTGCTTGCTATGGAAAATCAGCAGCCACTAAAGTCTCAGGTCAATAAGAAAATTGTAATGATAAGGTGATTTCTAGAAAAGGTCACACATTCTTAAATGCTAAGTAGGTCATTATGTTGGATCAATTTGGATCAAAGGGCATGATTAATTTAATTTTCATATATTTTCATAAGGCACTGTTACATGTTTAGATATCTTATCTCTAAATTATATGGTTTCAGACAACCATTGCTTTACAAAGCTATGTTAGAAAAATATGTAAGCGCTCTGCAATTTAGATTCAAAGGATTTTGACCATGGATGACCCATGTTCAAAACTGAGCTAGAAATCATCAAAATAAACTTTCTGACAAATTTTCAGGATATTTGTGATGAAATGTAAACAATTTTTTCATGATTTAGGTTGTGTGACCTAGGTTCTGACCCCAGATGACCCATATTCAAACATGACCTAGAAACCATCTAAACAACCTTTATGACTAATTTCAAGGATTTTTTTGATTAAACAATACTCTCGACAGACAAGGTTCTTCTTTATTTTGATTGTGTGACATATTTTATGACCCCAGATTCAAACATGACCTAGAAACCATCTAAATAACCTGTCTGTCTAATTTCCAGGATATTTATAATAAAAAGTATCCTATACAATGTAAGCAATGTTCTTCCATATTTGGATTGTGTTACCTAGTTTTTGACCACAGATGAATATATAATTGAATTTGAACTAGAAATCATCTTTTCTGACCAATTACCGGATATTTGGACCAAAACAATAGCCTGAGATTTTTAATATTTGAGCTGTATGATCTACTTTTGATCCAAGATGGCCCACATTCGAACATTAGCTAGAAACCATAAGAACAATCTTTCTCACCAATTTCAATGATATTTGGACTGAAACAGAAGTCTGTAGAGACTGTTTTTCTATGTTTGGAAACTATGCCCCTACGCCTTTTTGACACAAGAGAAAACTTTAAACAAATTTATTAGAGGACATATACATGATATTATTTACCAAACATCAAAACTCTAAGCCTTATATAAGAACATATTGAATATCAATGACCCAAAAACTATAATTAAAAAAAAATATTAGAGGTCTATAACACAATATTTCATGCCAAATATCTAATAACTTTGAGTTTTTGTTATTTACTAAATACATGTACATAAAACTTAAAGGAAAATCAATGATTTCCTGGGGTATGACTATTTTTGATCCCAGGGCTATAATTTGAAAAAAAATTACGGTAGAATTTCATTAGATGATGATACACACAAAGTATCTAAGTTATAGGCCTTGCACTTAAAGTTGAGAAGATTTATTAAGTTTTCTACTGAATGTACTTAATGAAAATCAATGGCCCCTAGGGCAGGGCCAATTTTGAACCAACTTTTATTTTAACATTGTTGGTAGAGGTCTACTACACAATGTTTCATGCCAAATATCTAACCTAAAGCCTTTGTCAAAACAGAAGGTGATTTTTAAAGTTTTTTTAATTATTTCTACATATAAGAAATGATGCTATACACAAAATACACATAGACCTTTTGGGGTCTGATTTTGTCCCCGTCCAACGTGATACGCCCCTGTAAACACTTTATCAAAAATATTGAAATATTAAATCACTAATGGGACATCTGTTACAGTTTTCAATCAATTTTTAACATAATTATTTGGAAAAAAAACCGTATCTCAATATCTCAAGTCTCAATAAAGTAAAGCACACAATTTCACAACGTCACTGGTCTATTTTTTGAAATGCCCGTGACTCTTGGTAAATAAAGCATATATAAAGAACGCCAAATATAAGTTAAACATCATAAGGCATTTTTTTTGTACATTTTGTATTTATATTTTACTTGTTTGCATTTTTTTAAATAATATGGTTTTACAGTAATTACTTTTTCAAAGTTTGGTATAAAAACATTATTTTTAACAGGTTAAACATGGCAATGATGTGACAGCTGATGTTGGTCTGCACTGTTTGCAACTTAAGTTTTCACATTCCTTGTATCTTCGTGATAAAAACCATTCATTGTCTTTTGGGGAAAATATTGAAATAATAGCTTACTGGCTAAACAGTGAACAGTGCAGACAATTGCCATGATGGCATTAATGTAGTGGCTAATTTTGGTCTGCACTGGTCGCGAAGTAATATTATTTTCACTTTTAATATAACTTCTCTATAGCAACACCTCTCAATCTATCTTCTCTACAGCAGCACCTCTCAATTTATCTTCTTTACAGCAACACCGCTCAACTTATATTCTCTACAACAAAACCTCTCATTTGATATTCTCTACAACAACACCTCTCAATTTATATTTTCTACAACAACACCTCTCAATTTATATTCTTAACAGCAACACCGCTCAAATTATCTTCTCTACAGCAACACCTCTCAATTGATATTTTATACAGGAAAACCTCTCAACTGATCTTCTCTACAGCAGGACCTCTCAACTTATTTTCTCTACAACAACACCTTTCAATATATCTTCTCTACAGCAACACGTCTCAACTTATCTTCTCTACAGCAACACCTCTCAATTTATCTTCTCTACAGCAACACCTCTCAACTTATCTTCTCTACAGCAACACCTCTCAACTTATCTCTTCTACAGCTACACCTCTCAACTTATATTCTCTACAGCAACACCTCTCAACTATCTTCTCTACAGCAACACCTCTCAACTTATCTTCTTACAAGCTACCACAGCTACAGCAACACCTCCTCTCAACTTATATATCTCTACAGCAACACCTTTCAACTTATCTTCTCTACAGAAACACCTCTCAACTTATCTCTTCTAACAGCAAACACCTCTCAACTTATCTTCTCTACAGCTACACCTTCAACTTATATTCTATACAGCCTACACCTCTCAACATATCTTCTCTACAGCAACACCTCTCAACTTATCTTCTCTAACAGCGACACCTCTAAACTTATCTTCTCTACAGCAACACCTCTCAACTTATCTCTTCCACAGCTACACCTCTCAACTTATATTCTCTACAGCAACACCTCTCAACTTATCTTCTCTACAGCTACACCTCTCAACTTATATTCTATACAGCTACACCTCTCAACATATCTTCTCTACAGCAACACCTCTCAACTTATCTTCTCTACAGCTACACCTCTCAACTTATATTCTCTACAGCAACACCTTTCAACTTATCTTCTCTACAGAAACACCTCTCAAATTATTTTCTCTACAGCAACACCTCTCAACTTATCTTCTCTACAGCTACACCTCTCAACTTATCTTCTCTACAGCAGCACCTTTCAATTTATCTTCTCGTCAGAAACACCTTTATCAGTAATACAGTAAAATTCATCGACAAAAAACATCATGACTCATCACAACAATTTAATACAATATAATAGAATCATATACATTTAATTAGCATTTAAAAACAACAACAATTGTAGAAACAGAAATAGTTTAACATTGTAACAAGATTTTTGAATAGATTTAGAGAGGAAATAAAAAATATTACAGCTGCACAAGTCCTCTTTAATATAAAAAAAAGTAAAAACATTGTAAAAAATTAATAGCTAACTGAAAAATTCAACGTTCCTATTGAATAATTAGTAACTAAGCAATAATGTCACATGAAATAAAAATTGGACCATCATCAGTGAAAACTGTATTCGGACAGTTCTTGTTTGTACCACAGTACTTAATTTTTCCACCAAACTGTTACATTAAAATAACTTACTTTCATAATTTTATTTTACTCATAGTAATTAATGCTGCATTTTTATGTCAAAGTACAAATCCCCATCAAAAATTCTCATAAAAGTTTAAAACAATAGCATCCAAGTCAATCTGTGATGTTAAAAGTTGGGGCTTAAAATGCAAATTAGCATAATTATGTTCAGATAACCACTGTATAATTGATAATGTGGTAATTGGGAATAAACTATTGTACTATAAATGAAGCAAAAAGATTGTGGATAATATTTAAAGCAACTTGTGAACCCTATTAAATGCATTTTGTGGATCATACTTAATGCAATTTATGGATAATAAGAAATCAAAATTATTTTGTTTTTGTTTTGATTGGGCTTTATGTCCCACCGACACAGTAGGTCATATGGTGACGTTCCAGCTTTACTGGTAAAGGAAGACCTCAGGCACGAACGGGCACCTGTGTGGAACCACCGACGTTCTGTAAGGTAGCTGGATAGCTTCCTCACATGAAATCATCCAATTTCCCTGTGGGGATTCGAACCCACAGCAGTGAGTAACAAGTGGTTTGAAGTTAACAACCTTAACCACTCGACCGTATATGTCCAAATTAAAATAGTAGACTACTTTATAAATTGTGGATCATCTTATATGTGAAATTGAGATAATTATGTTCAAATTGCATACCATCAATCTTAATGCAAATTGAATTCATCTAATAATTTAAAATAAAAGCTTTTGGAGATTCAACCATCCACTTTCATAAATAGGACATACAATGTGAAAAAACAACATGAAAATTGTCGAAAATTTGCAACAATAGATGACACATTTCAAAGAAAATCATATTCAATGGATCTCATACGGTTACAGGCATGATTTAAATACAGTTACTGTAACAACAACAATAATGTGTATAATAAGACCACTCTAATACATGACTATATAGTAAAATGATAATTTACATCAGACGTTTCATAAAATTTATTTAATAATTACACAATTTGTATGTCATAATGTTATGTTATCATTTAGTGTTCAAAACAATTATGTACCATGGAAAAATGACAAATTTCACACAAGTGTGTAAGTTAATTCTACACACAAGTATTAATGTCAAACTGTCATTATACACAATTATTATGTTATAATGGCTTTCCTGCTAGTCGTGTGATTTTTAGGCAAGAATATCAATCCTGTCACTCACACAATAGACTCAATCAAACCGAGTCTGCAATTCTCTTGTAGTTTTGTTGTGATTAATGCTTCCGAGGGATCACTTTGTTTCCAGATTTTTATACTTCACAACAGCAGATGTCACGTGCTGTGTGGCAGCTGTAAAAAGTTGCCCCGTACTTCACTTCAGTGTTGTTATATTTTTCTGGTCCTTCGGGATCATTGATGCCAGCACTATTAAGTGTTGAGAATTGAGTACCGCTTTTGAGTACCGCTTAAGCCGGTGCTAGGGGGCTGGAGGGATGTTGCACACATTCATTATCCCTCATGTACAGACTCAATCAAACCGAGTCTGCAATTCTCTTGTAATTTTGTTGTGATTAATGCTTCCGAGGGATCACTTTTGTTTCCAGATTTTTATACTTCACAACAGCAGGTGTCAAGTGCTGTGTGGCAGCTGTAAAAAGTTTGCCCCGTACTTCACTTCAGTGTTGTTATATTTTTCTGGTCCTTCGGGATCATTGATGCCAGCACTATTAAGTGTTGAGAATTGAGTACCGCTTTTGAGTACCGCTTAAGCCGGTGCTAGGGGGCGTGAGGGATGTTGCACTCATTCATTATCCCTCATGTACAGACTCAATCAAACCGAGTCTGCAA